GGGGTTGTCTTGTCATATCACCTTCTCTTGATTTATCTGAGAAGAATAAATTGGTTAGCTGACAGCTAGCTCACCCTTAAAAAAATATGCTGGTACTCAGTTCATTTAATCCACTTAGTAAATAGTGATAGACCTTATGAATAGTAAATTGGCCAAATGATTCTTCATCCTTAAAAAATGTGTTGGCACCTAGCCCATTTAAAATATTAAATAATTATTTTATAAAATAATAAATTTTAAATTTAGTTTTAATTTCGGATGAGATTTTTAACCAATCTCGTCACGTCATGTGTCATTATCCGAACATACTATTTTGGGAATAGATTTCCGTTAAGATTTTTAACCAATCCTGACACGTCACGTGTCACTATCTATTTACAATAATTTAGCCAAGATTTCGTTAAGATTTTCAATCAATTTTGTCACAACACGTGTCTTTATCCGAACATACTATTTTGTGGATAGATTTCCAATTAGATTTTCAACCAATTCCAACCAATTCCAACGCGTCACGTGTCACTATCTGTGTACAATAATTTAGCCAAGATTTCGATAAGATTTTCTACCAATCACGTAGTGTCACATGGCATTGTCCAGAACCTTATCCTTTCTTTTTTTGTCCATATAAACCCTACATCCCTACATCAATCATCATTCACACACCAAACTCAATCCTTCTTTTTAGCTCAAAATCCTTCTTCAATGTTTTTAAATCTTGAGTTCTTACAATGTTTTCTTCAACGAGATTGTCCAAACAGTTTGAGGAGCAACTGAAAAGATTGTTGGCACAACAGGAAGAATTGTTCAATCTCGAGGAATGTGGAGATGAGGGTTTCGCAATGGAGGAGGATGAGGATGTTGAACATAGAAGGTAGAGGGCCTCACATTCTTGCCGTGTCATGGACGATGTGGGTCAAATATCCAAACCCAGACGTGCTGCAAACTTAGATAGCAAGAGGGAAAGACGAGGTAAAGGTCTTTTGGAAGATTATTTTATCCCCAACTATGTATTCCCTGATCATGTTTTTAGACGTCGTTTTAAAATGCAACGAAGTTTGTTCGACAAAATCATGAGTGCTATTTGCAACCATGATCCATACTTTGTGCAAAAAAAAAAAAAAAAGAAGATGTTTTTCATGTTCTAGGTCTTCTTCCTGAGCAAAAAAAATTAATGTTGCCTTGCGGATGTTTGCATATTGAGCATCTGCAGATCAAGCGGATGAGATAATGAGGATTGGAAAATCAACTATTCTGGAGTCCATGATACGATTTTGCTCTGCAATCGAAGCCCTCTATACCAATAAGTACCTTTGGACACCCACGTCAAGGGACCTGTGAAGGCTGCTAAAGAAGGGTGAGATGCGAGGCTTCCCTGACATGATTGGAAGCATTGATTGCATGCAATGGACCTGGAAAGTATGTTCAAGTACGTGTCAAAGAGCTTATGGCGACAGAAAATGAGCCAAAAGTATCATTTTGGAAGTAGTGGCTTCATTTGATACATGGATTTGACATGCATTTTTTTGGTGTTCTAGAAGCTCAGAATGACCTAAATGTCCTTGCCCAATCTCTAGTCTTCCACGAAGTGCTGCAAGGAAAAGCACCCAGAGTCACATATTGGGTCAATGGCCATAGATACGAAAGACCATACTACCTTGCAGACGGCATTTACCCAAGGTGGACAACGTTTGTCAAAACAGTGCCACATCCACAAAGTGAAAAAGAAAAACACTTCGCACAATGTCAAGAGGGGTATAGGAAGGATGTAGAGCGTTGTTTTGCTATCCTCCAAGCTCGTTGGGCGATTGTCAGGTCAACTGCCAGAATGTTTGATGTCGAGGCTCTTCGATCCATCATGATGATGAGTATCATTCTCCACAACCTGATTGTGGAAGATAAATATAATTATGATGTTGTCGATGAATACGAGCCGGACACAATGAACAACTCAAGAACACGTATCTATTGTGCTCATGAAAGCACCGAAGATCCCGTGCAACACAAGCTATTGGAACAGGATGGATGTTATAATCAATTGATCGTTGAGCGGTACACTTCAATGCAAGAGCCATATTGGCATTGTACCCGTTAAAGTGACTTAATTGAGCACCAGTGGGGATTACAACAAGGTGAAGATAATTAAAAAGAGTTTGTGGTGGAAGAATAAAGTTCTTGGTTTATTTAGTGTGTTTTTTTTTAACTTTACATTTATTACTAAAAATAAATAAGAAATTACATAAAGTACTACAAATAAATAAGAAATTACATAAAGTACTACAAATAAATACGAAATTATACAAAGTTTGTGGAGCTAGGATATGTGGTGCTAGGATCTTTGTTCCTAGGATCTGTGTAGCTAGAACCCCCTCGACTTGTTTCCACATCTCTTGCACGCCTCTTTCGCACCACGTTTCTTTTTTCCGATGTCCACAAAATATTTTAAATTTGGAGACAGCCTTACTAGAGGCTTGTTCATAGTATCACGATCTGCTTGAGCCATCCTTTCTTCTCTAAGCATCTCGTTTTCTCGATTAAGGGCTTTCCTAATCATCTCATTTTCTTGATTAAGTATTTCCCTTTGTCTCTCAGCCGTCGCATCATGTCTCTCAGTAGCTGCTAATATTGTTGCCATAGCAGCAGGTTTTTCCTCATCTGTAGCCACTTCCGCGCCATGTTCAGTTCACCTTGGCGAGCAAGTTCGTCCATATATTTTGTGTAGTCATTTTTGGAAGAACTCCCTTTTTCTTTGTCGCCTTTCTACTTGATGCCTTAGGGACCCACGAGTCGGCTGGGTCTTCGGCACTTCTTTAGGCGTCATTTCTAGCATTTCTTCAAATGTGTCTTCTTCCTGTAGGGCCTTGTCCGGTTCTGGCGAACTGTGTAGAGGGATGCCGTGCATGACAACTTCTGGACCTGTTGGCACAATTTTATATATTCCCATTTGTTGAATGATTTGTTGTGGTTTTTCAAATTGTAGAATGCTTGTGCTTGTAGTGTTTACAAAATGTGAGATAAGACAATATTATAAAATGCAGGTGTAACCCAAATAAATAAATTTAAATATTGATGCTGGTGGAATACATATAAATAAATAAAAATATTGTCACCTAATCCGCTAAACTTGTCTCACTACGTAAATTAGTGGAAGCAATCGAGAGATCGTTTTTCCAACAAGTGAAGGATATGTTGAGTTTTTTCCAACGCCCTTGAAGACCTTAACTACTTTTGGTGTCTTTTCCAAGCCTAGCACAAAATGCTTCCGTAATTCTACTCCATATTTCTCACAACTCCATCTCATTACTCGTAATCGGGTCATGAGTAATTTGAACCTAGCATTCACACAATGTAACATCTTTGATGAGCTTCCACGTAGCCATTTTTTCACACAAAAAGTATATGAAAGCTTTGGTAGATAGTGATGAAAATATTGAAATGTGGTGTAAAAATGGAAGATGATGGTTAGGTATTTATAGGAAAAAAATAATATTTTTTTAATTTTTTTTTTCTGTATTATTAACAATTTTTATTAAGTAAATTAATTTGGACTGTTGGATTTAAAAAATATTCAAATCCAACAGCCCAGATGTTGACACGTGGCCAAAGGTCATAATTCTAACCATTGTGCCTTTTTTTTTGGGGCGAAAAACGTGGATTGTTTATCACTTGATCAGATGGCCCAGATCACACCACATCACTAACCATTGGTTTTCAAATTCAAATTTTTTTTACCGTTGGAAATCCAACGGCCCAAAACGAGCCACGTGGCCTCCCATTCGAATCGATGAGTGCGCTTGTGCATGCAGGCCCCGCTCAGTTTTTCTTGTCAGGGACACTCGACCATTCCCCCATGTTTCCCACACGCCTAGATGAAGAAAACAAAAAATTAAAACGGCCTGTGATGTCATGCTGACGTGACGCATGACGTCATATAGGCGGGGCCTTGGCTTAGCACATTATGGCCCAGCCTATGGGACGGCTTAGGCTGTCAACTGGCCTATTGGACTGGGCTGGAGGGAATTGGCTGGGTGCCGGGCCAAAAAGGCTGCTGGGTACCGGCCTAATGGCTCCCGGTGGACTTGCTTTGAGGCTGAGCTCCTTAGTCCTTCCTCTTAGTGCTTCTTGAATTACTAGAACAACCTCTTCATTTCGAAATTACTAGCAAACTTATATGTAGCTACATTGATAAAACAAATGTGTGTTTCTTGTGTATCTAAGTTTCAATTTCTCTTTGCCACTTAGTACTACAGTCTAGTGGTAATCCTTTTCACTTGTAAGTGAAAGGTCTTAGGTGAGATTCTCACTAATGGCGAATTTAAACCACATTATTGTTAGCCTATTGTGAGGCTAGCCCACCCCTCCCCCTTAGTGTACATAATATCGTTTGTTCAGAAAAAAAAAAGTTTGAATTTATCTTTCTCTAATTTAAGTTAAAGTGAACTAAAACTTCATAATAAAACACAAAACCAAGGTAGAAGCGTATATCATTACAATAACTAAGAACATAGTATTTTTCTTTCTTAATTTTAAGAAGGGAAGGTGTGATTTCTTTTGGGGTGATACAACAGCACTAAACAGCCACTACAAGACAACAACTCATTTACCACGACAAATTAATCACGGACTTTATGAGTTCGTTATAAAAGGTACAATTTATCACGGGCATAATAAGCACGTGGTGAATAATAAGTTTTTATCACTGAAAAATTTTAGTCTGTTGTAAAAGAATAGTGAATGACCATGCACAAAGTTGTACATTGTAAATATAGTATCAATATTGTTAGTATCCACATCACCGTTTTGTTATCTACCACGAGCACAATGTGTGATAAATTCATATATACTTAAATTAAAAAAAAAATTAAAAAAGCGGGTCACTAAATTGGCGGGTGACTAAACTTTTTGTAAAATTTCAAATATTTTAAAATTTGAAATTTTCACACCACTCAAGCAGACTCCCGCACAAAATTCAAAATATAAAGGAAGAGAAATCCAAATTGTTTCTTTTATTGGTTAATCTCATCACCCACTCTCTCCCACACTACCATCTAAAAGACTAAAACCCTTCTCCTTATATATATGATGCCTCATAGCTGAGCAACTGTCACTAGGGTTTCAATCTCACTCTACAGCCGCAGGCAGCGGCGGCGCTAACCTCAATTCCCACCCATTTACATTCTCGAGGCTGATGGTTGAAATTAGAATATAAGCAGGTTTACTATTTTTGGTACCGATGCATTTTCCACCAGATAGAGTGCTACTCAGCTGAACTGCACCAAATCCTGCAATGGTGATCGGTCAAATTGACGGTTTTGCGGTGGAACAAGACCGATCCAACTTTGGCCCAACCCTGGCATCCATTAGTTTTCTTATATGCCCCTCTCTAGACTTTACTTTCTCTCTCTACAATCATCATGGGTATTGATCTTAATTCTCAATTATTGGTTTCGATTTCACCCTTTTTGTTGTAGACCTTGTTTTTTTTTTTCTCTATATTTTTGTTTTTTTTTTTTTGTCTTTTTGACCATTTTTGTGTGTTCTTGTTTGTATCAATCAGCAACATCTGGCATGAAGAACAAGATCGAAATCAACGGTAATGATCCAATCTGTCACATTATACCTATTCCTTTATGATCAAACATCTTTCGAATGAAAGGTTTGAATCTGTTTGTTGTTGTGGGTGCTCTTTGATTTTCAGTACTAGCGAATGTTTCTAATTTATTTTTTATTTTTTTCAATTATTCATAGGTTATCAATGATAGAGGTTTGAAGTATTTCACTCTCAAAGACTTCGTTTGGAGATGTTCAAGGAAAAGTAAAGTCTTTCAAGTGACCATTTCCTTGTTAGTAGAGGCCTATTTGGTGCTGCATGTGTAATTTGTAAATTTTTCGTATAAATCAGTGGTGGTGGTGTTAGTTTTGCACCCCTTGTAATACATTTGACTATATGAATCTAAATGAAATATGGTATTATATTAAATGTGCAATTATATTGTTTCTTTTATATAATTTTTAATTAATTATTTTTTTTATTTTTGGAAACCTTTTTACAATAGGCATTGGTCGTGGTCAATTAGTAGTCTACAACGGTCGTAGTGCATGGTGTAAAATTCTAATCTACTACGAACTTTGTTCGTGATTATTATATCATTAACAACGTCTTTTATAATATCCAAAATCCTAACGGGCACAATGTTCGTGGTGGATTTTGATCTATCACGGGCATTCATTGTGGTAGATGTGGGTTTTTCTTCTAGTGAGCCCCAATGAAAAGATAAGAAACCAATCTAATATAGAGAGCATTAACAAAGGGCTCTATAAAAATCCCTGAAAAATCATTCCTAATGATAAGTAGACAGGAGGGAGAGGGCGCTCAAATCAGCTGCATCGAAGTCAATAAAATGACTCAGTTTAGCCAAGCAATGAGCTACCATGCTTCTCTCCCCGTAGGCGTGATTATTTGTGAGCACAAAAAGTCTATTATCGAGGCTCATCTATGCACTCTATCCTCAACTACTTGTACGTTTTATTCGTCTTAATGAATATCGTACCTTAAAATACAAAGGCCTATTATAGCATTGAATTATTTTTTTTAATATAATTTTTTCACTTTTGGTTATAATGATGGTCTTAGTACTGTTTTAAAATGATGTCCAATGGAAGAGCATATGGGCATATTATTCGTGAGGATAGAAAAGTCGGATGAGGAAGGTGTGTTACATTCGTGGATCATGCAATGAGGGTTTGAAATGTAATGCGAACAAGCGATATTCTACATTAATTCGATAGGTTGAAGCAGGAACCTAGTGCTTATCTTCAGTACTTGACTAGTTGATTTAATCTAAATCCATATAATCCGGTAACCCAGTCCAGCCCACGTTCAATCCAGTCCGCACAAAGCAAACTCAAAAGTTGGCAAATCCAAACCTTTTAGGCATTTACTAGTCTGGCCCAGTGCAAGGCTGAGTCCTAGTCTACCTTCTCTTCAATTGGTGTCTAATGGACCTGAATTTCCTTGTAAACTATCACATAACATCTGGTAGTTTTTAGTACACCTTCTAAAAACTTGATTTTTGAGTCAGTATGAACACCTAGTTCTAACTTCCAACCATAAGTACTGCCTCAACTCTTTCAAGTCCGCCGGCCAAGCAACCCGGAAATGAAATCAAACCCGAAAAAAAGTGTAAATTTGTGGTGTAATGGAGTCAAAATGACAGCAACTGCAAACAAGTACCAGGAAAATGACTGCAACTGCAACTAAAACCACACTGCCAAAGTAGTTTGAGTGATCATCCAACCCATTTAACCACAAAGAAGCAGCTGTGCATCACACAAATTCATTTTTAATGCTACACTGACACTCAGTTAACAGTAACTGGAACACTAAATTCATCTATGCTATGGGGAGGCAGAAGAGTTTGAACTCGAGATACAATGGGTTCAAGAGGAACACCCAATCCAACCATGCAATTATAGCTACTTTAGAATTGCAATGTTATCATTAATCAACTTGAGATATCTGATTACTATATTTGCACATAGACAAATATCACTAAATTTTATTCATCATGCTAGAGAGCATTTTACTTACTTGAGTCTAAGTCCAGTATTTATACTAAGCAAGATATGTAGGCGCATTGTTGTGTAGACAACAACCACGCAAGAGGCAGGATTCCGTGAACCGGAAACTTGCTGGGCAGTTCATATGTATCGTTCGAAGAATTCGGAATAGATCGGAACTCCTGTTGTTGACATTTGTTGACAAATAAAAAGGCTACACAATAAATGATAACCCCCAGCGAGGAACAATTTCACTAAGACCTGATTTCTTTCTACCAGAACAATAAGCCTACAAAGTTACAGGATAACATGTATCATGGTATAATATAAGCAATCTACAGTCAGAAGAAAGCTTATATCGGCAAAAATGTTTGTACCGTTGCGTTTCCGATGATTCCCCAAAACTTCTTCCTACATATTAACACAGTTTCTGGCTTCTTCTCCTTGTTTTCCAGTGTATGCAATTCAACCTCCCACAAAAATTTTGGAGCAAGATCCTGAATCCTTGATGTAATGGTTTCCTCATCCCTAATGATAATGAATCCCTGCACAATAACTCGCTCAATATAAGTCTGAATCATAAGAAGCGTCGGACAAATAGGACTTGCAAGAGATATCTTCGTGGTTGGACAAAGAAAAGAAGTTCTACTTAACTACATGAAAATTATATAAGATGCTGTATAATGATACAAAAGCTAAAGTTCACACTTCATGTAGAGAAATTAAAGACTTCCTATGACTTCCTTGATGATTTAAAAATAGTGCTAGAAGAAACTAAATATATAAGTGGACATCTCATGAAGTATGTTGATTGCCGATGACAGTTTTATTGCACACATCTAATGAATCATTCGTCATAAAACTGGAAACATGAAGTAACACACTACAAGGAACTGAACATGATGCAAAATGATAAACAATGGCAGATGAAAATTGACGTCTGATTCCCATGCAACAAGGCAATCAAGATGATCATGACGAAACTTTGAATTGAAACTTAGTATGTGAAATGTAATTTGTACTGCCAGCCTTGACTACAGAAATTTTATTTTCCCTTCGTTTTCTCTTTCTTGATATTGTATGACTTTATGTTTCTGAGATTCCACACAAACAAGAATATTAGATGACATTTAACCGGAATTATTACCTGAGGTCTTATCATCCTGTCCATCTCCAGAAGGATATCCGCCAATTCACAACCTTGTCGCCCCAGGTTCTTATAATGAGAGAAGAGGCGGTTGGCATGTAACAGATCGTAGGTACGTGGATAAGTGGAAAATGGTTGGCGCCTACATTACGAATGGACTAGATGCAAAATTCTAATTCTGAGGGGGGTTTCTTTTTATAGACAATATTTGAGCAGAATATTCCACATTTAGCTACACATTGCATACGACATTTGGAATATAGCTGCAATAGGTAATAGATAAAGAACTTACCAATCATGGAAAGCACCAATCAGACCACGATTGTAAATGGCAGACAAGGTATTCTTCATGCTTGCAGGAACTATATTCATCACCTATGTAGGCGAGTCATTTAAGGCCACAGCAAATCCACCACAAAAAGCATTCATGTCCATGTCCGTCTTATTGATATTCAACAACCTCCAGTAATGTTGAACTTGATCTTGCCAAAAGGTGATCTCCCAAGAAAATTCCTCTTGAGTATGTCGCTATGATAACCAACAGACAAAAAATGGATGCAGTGGCAGATATAATAAGCGACAGAATTGACAGCGTCAGGAAATGAATTTTCCAACAGAAAATACTCTAAAACTGATAGAAATTGTGTCGGATATAACTGACAGAGAATTTATTAATAATGCGTAAATAAAAGCATTCTTTGTCGGATGAAACCGACAAAAAAATATATTAATAATAAAAAAAATATAAACCACCGTCTAAATCATTTCTTTCCTTTTCAAGTTGGCCTCTCCTGCATTCATTGCATTTTCCAGTGAAAGGATCTCGAGTATTCCTGCAACAAAACAACCAGTGAACGGATCCGTGAGCACCCTACACAAACTACCCCCAAACTTTATCATTCTTGCAAATCAATAGATCTTCGACATGCAAAACCAACACAGTCAACCTAGGGCATGAATCTTTAATTTGGATTTTGATCCGTGTTTTGTCTCGCTTGTGTAATGCCGTATCCAAGCTTTGGAGTCCGCTCTTGTGCATACATCAGAACACAGATGGGTGTAAAAATCACAGCACAAAAAAACTTTGAAAATAAAATCAGAACCGAAGTTTAGGGGTGATTGCGTTTTTACCTAAAGTTGGGGGAGTCTTGGACGATCCGCCATGGATCTGGAACTTTTGGGTGTTGGTGCGCCTCCCTTGTTGTAGATCTGTGTACTCTCGCCAAAAAAAAAAAAAAGTAATGTTGCATGGATGTGTTAGTTCTTTGATTTTTCCATGACAATAAACTTAATGGAAGTCCATGGCAGCAAAATGAGATTTTTACCTTTGACTTAGGGGTTTCGCTATTGAGATCCAGTGCAGATGATGGCTTCCATGAACGGGACCTAGAGCCATGGCGACATGGATTACAGTTTCAGATCGAGAGAAATGGAGGCGAAGGGTTTGTGTTGAACAACAATGATGACTAGATTGTGTGTAGGTCGAGAGTTATGAAGACATTTCTCATGGTTGATGGAGGAGTGGCTATGGCTTCTACCAAGTGTTTGTGTTGATTTGAGAACAGGATCAGAGAAATGAGAACACCTCTTTCGTTTTCTAGAGAGAAAGGGACCTAGGGTTTCTAATTACAATCAGAAATGAAAACAATGAGAGCAAGTCCACCCCTAAGGACTTTGCGCCAGCACCCAGCGCATTTATCCACTCAAATGAACAGTAACAGACTCCAATGAACAGTAATAGGCCAAGGCATCTCCACCCCTAAAAAAATGCGCTGGCACCTAGTGAAAAAATGCGCTGGCACAAACGATCTCCATCCCTACAAAATGCGCTGGCACCCAGTCCATTTAAAATTTTTTTAAATTTTTTTCTAAAAGAATAAAAAAATAAAATAGTTTTAATTTCGGATAGGATTTTTAACCAATCTCGTCACGCCACGTGTCATTATCTGAACGTACTATTTTGTGAATAGATTTCCGCTAAGATTTTCAACAAATCCCTACACGCCACGTGTCACTTCCGTTTTACAATAATTTAGCCAAGATTTCGATAAGATTTTCAACCAATCACGTCATGCCACGTGGCATTGTCCAGAACCTCATCCTTTCTTTTTTTGTCCATATAAACCCTACATCCCTACATCCATTCTCACACCAAGCTCATCATTTCTTTTTACAGCTCAATCCTTCTTTTTAGCTCAGAATCCTTGTTCATCGTTTTCAAATCTTGAGTTCTTATTACAATGTCTTCTTCAAGAAGGGTGTATAAACAGTTGCAGGAGC